TAGTGTAAGCAAATTGCGAACTAAGCATTTTGATGGGCTTTTGCATTTTTTTAACGGAATAGATGTATTTGTCAGTTTACCGACCGGATCTGGCAAATCGGTAATTTTTTTGAATGTTGCATTATAATTGCATAATTATATAATATTCTTTTGCATTATCAGCCAATAACATAACGTGTTTATGACTGATTAATTCTGGCGAGATCCACGACAAAATACGTCATCAGTATGGAATTTGTAACATCTGCGCGCAGACTCTATTTATCGCGTTTCCCCCAACGTGGAATAAGCGTATAAGTAGATTCTGTTATTCGCAGGCTAGTTGAAGAGTAAAAGAAAAAGAAAATGAAGTAGCGTTATTTGTTCTACCACAGGTTAAAATAATATAATGTGACCACCATCCAAGAAACTAATTCCGCACAATATCGAGTGATGCTTTTAACAACAGCGAATAACAAAAAAATAGGTACGCCACAGCGTACACGTGTCTACTGTGATTTTAGCCCCAAAAATAGAAAGATGAATGGGGATAAGAATGACATGAAATGACCATTTTATTTGAATAGTTACAACTGCGTCAAATATAGAATATACAAGTAGCTATATGACATGATAAGATGACATTCGCATTCACTTTGCTTGTTACTTCGAAAGATATTGTGATGTGTTGTAACATTAGTGAGTTTTGGTCTAAATATTTCAATTGATCTAATTGAAATGAGTTTATATTAAATATATTTGTAAGTTGTAGTTTATAAATTATGAAACAAGATATGGATTTTGTGACACTTGCAGAAAATAGCAGATGATTTGCATTCACTTAGCTCGTATTTCCAAAGATGTTGAAATCAGTAAAGCTTTGGCAGCTTTAGCTTTTTTATATAGCTCATAATTAAATGCAGAAATGTTTGTTGGTAAGCCTAAAACAAATGTTTTGTTTGGGAACTGCATGGCTCTCTTAAATTTCATGATGTATTTTAAACTTGAGTTTAATTTTTTTATGTGATTCATACCCATGATCAACATTGAGACTTTTCTAATGCACCCGTAGTGCCTATTTATACCATTGACAGATGAAGTCAAATCAGCCTACAAGCTTTTAATAGTAAACAACCTATTTTTAATAGTAAACAAACTATTTTGTGTTTATTTCAGTTGTAGAAAATAGCTTCAAAAAAAGTTTCGGGTTTATGCATACACATCACTCATTTGGTAACGCGAATGAAATATCAGTTCTGACTTAATATTAACTATTTGGCTCAGATTTTTAGCTCAGAATTAAGTTTCCACCACCTAAAACACACCTTTATTACCCTCAAATCCATATTTTTCTCACGAACTCGAGCAATTTGTGCAACAGTAGCCCTATTGTAAGCTAAAATCTAGTTTTTACCATAAAAAAGCATGCTTCCGCCCCTTATGCGGCAATTTGATATGGCGAAATTCAAAAACTGGCCGATCGACGCTTGCAAGAAAATAATGTTCGAGCTTCGTAAACATCCGTAAGTAATTTGGAATGTTCCGAAACTAGAATCCTCGACCAAAATAGTTCTGGTAGACGTGCATATGTAAGTCATCCTAACAGCAGCATGCGCTTGATTTGTTTCAAAAAGACTTATTTATTTTAATACCTTAAAGTCATTTCACGTCTCGTTAAATCTCGGGTAACTGTTGTCATGTTATCAGCCCCAGAGGTTTGATGTTCATTCCCATAAGGTCCATATACGGAGTTTTTTTCCAAATTACTAGAAAGCTATTCTTTTGCCTATGTTTGCTTTTGTCATTCTTTTTACACCATGGATTATTAATAGTTTTAAGTACTCCTGGGACTTTTTATATTTTTCTTTGTTTTTTTATCGGTAAATAACTGTTTTATATGTACAAAATGCTATTAACTGCAGGGAGCCTCGATAGACGTGTTAAAAATACTCTTTTGTGTATATACTCCTACCGATTACTACAAACTTAGAAAAGTTGACTTATACGTTTCGCTGTAACAACTGGCTGTTATGTTTTCTAGTAAATTTAAACGACAATAATTTGTTATAGGATGGCTGTAAAGAATGCTTGTCATATGTTAATGAACCTTGGTATTGATTCAAGAAGTGTTTATGAGGAAGATTTCGAGAAGAAATTTTTAAGCGAGTCTGCTGAGTTTTATAGGGTGAATATTCGTGGTTTTTTACTTTTTCAATGTCTTGTACGAGGTCTTGTCATTACCTGCAACAATAGACCCTTTCGATAATTACTTTAACACAAACGAATAAGTGAAAATAAGCCATATCGAGAAATAAATAAGTGGAAACGAATAGGTGGAAATAAGCCATAACAAAAGCGAGACTCCAGGTCGTTAAATGCATGTGTTGAAGGATGTTTTGCATCTTTGCACGTGGCATCGTAAGTGTAAAATGTGAATTTAAAACGATAATGTTTTTTGACGTAATTACAAAGGGTCTATAAATATCGATTGTTATAGATATAAAAAGGTTGCATCCATTACGATTATACGTATATATTATGAATGGTACACCCCATTAAGGCCTGGTTTCCACTTTATCCTAATTTTCGTAAACACGCTAAGGTCGTTGGTGAAATATTTCTACACAATGACTGATTTAAATACATGTATGAGAAAAAACGCAGATATACGTTTCTCGTCGGTGGTTTGTACAATTATACGGTAAAATGGAAACCATTGCCATTTGACCTGGCGCCGGTTGATCCATGGGCCTGGGGCCGGCTGTATGAAAGCCTGATAGCGGTATCCACCGGATATTGGTTTTTAACCCTTCTTTGCTTGAAAAGCAACAAAATTTCAACTTTGGAACTAAAAATTATTAAAGAGGATCCTCAATTTAGGAATACTAAGATTTAATCAAAGTTATGTTATTAAATGGGGGATTTTAAAGCGATTGAAAAAACTACTATTCGGTAGACAACTGGCCCCAGGTGGATATTTTCGATTCAAAATTTTTTTATTTTATTTTGTTTTCATTTGTGATCTGCGAAGTGAAACCGCTTTGGTGCATGGACTTTTAACAATTTTTGGGCAAATCGTTATACAACTTATTCTTTGATTATCAGGACATTCCCCGATTATGAGGGGTAATTTAGCGACTATCAAATTATTATCATGCACAATGGACGACTTGCGCTTTAGACTAATTTCTTACATCGGTGATAAAAAGAATATTTTCTGAAAGAGCTTACTAAAATTAGTAAAACTGCCAAGTTTGGCTGGGAGTTGTTGTAAATTACGGAAAATATAGCCATGCGAAGTTGTTGATTTTTGTATACTTTTGTATTGCGGCCGAAATTTTGTAACTAATTTAGTTACACATTTCCGCACGTAATACAAAAGTATACAAAATATGCTAACTTCGCATGGCTATATTTTCCGTATTTTACAAACTTTCGCAGCCAAACTTTGCATTTGCACTAATTTAAGTAAGATCTTTCTAGCTGTGGTGATTTATTTTCCTCTAGTTTCTTTGATCAAAAATTAGTCTAAAGCGCAAGTCGTCCATTAACCGCCAATCGCTAAATCAGTGTACTTTATTAATATAACATGCAGGCTGTAGAAATAGCCGCCACAAACCAGATTTGGAATTCAAATATCCATGCTATAAGACTGGTCATCTGTAAATGTGACAAAATTGAAGTGATAAAACGCGCACTCGCACAGGCAAAATCTGATCTTCAAGCTGCGGTTAGGCGGTTGAACGCAAGACTTTAGGATAAAACTCTGCAAAATGATATATATTTATCTCTCGGGTATTTCGATTTGTTTTCGATTTAAATTATAGGTGGAGGGGCAAAAATTTTTGACGGAAAACAGTGCTTCTGTGTACATAGAAAAGGTAATTATATGTAGCTAACAGTCATATATGCATATTTTTTAACTGCATGAAATGCGGACGTGCATAGAAGATGAGTTTTCCATTCCCATTAAGAGCACACCACTTCAGTTTACTTACTTTCATAATAATTGTCTATGTTTTGTTATTTTTTTAAGGTGGAAAAACGTCTTAATGAAGAATCTGAGCGTGCGAAACATTACCTTGATCCAAGCACGGAGAAACCCATTACGGAGGTGTGGTGTAATAAAATGTTAAACTAAAATAAAAACATGCATGATATAAACTACGAAATAAACTACGTGTCAGAAAAAGCCTACTTTTGCATTTATCACAGTAACTTATATGGGACAGTGAACGCCATGTAGTGTTCGTCAAAAAAATTATAGGAATCATTAGAGTTCGGAAAAGTTGCAGCTTAAATAACCCAAAGAAATTGAATACATACAAAAGGTACTTGTTTGCCTTGTTTGTGTGCTTGAGGTGCCGGTGCATTATAGAGAATGCTTAGAATATTGAACGTTTCCTGGAAGACTGAACCTGCCAGCCATTTTGAATCGTCATTGTGCTGTATAGCAACGGTTTCTAAACGTAATAGACACTTCCCGAATTTGTGCTCGGGCAATGAAAACCATCTCACAAACAATAGATTACACTGCCCGCCTCGTTTCCAAGCTATTGTTTTGTATGCACTCAAGCATACAATTCGGGAAGTGTCTATTAATAAGCTTTGAGCTCTTGCAATATGCACGTTTGCTGTAAGAAAACATCGATTTTTACATTCCTGCTCAGTATAGTTCCCCTGGGTTCTATCGCATGGAGTTTGGTGCAGTGTATATACCCTGTATTGACATGCACCATTTATACACTATCAGGTTCTAGAAGATGAGTTAATTGCCAAGCATATGAAAACCGTGGTCGAGGTAAGATGTTTCTTCTTCAATCACCGAATTGGCGAATAAAAAAGCCGGTAAACGATTTGTAAACAGTTGAAATATGAGTGAAGTAATATAGTTATCTATCATTGACGATTGGGGAGAGCATAGGCAAAGTATGTTCTGATAGGACTGTGGGTAGACATAAAAGGCTTTTGCGAACGGTAGATCTGTTTTGGAAATACTAGTGGGCACGATTTTAATATCAGGTTGGCTAGCATGAATAAAATTCCAGTATGCCTGGCAGAATTGAAACAGAACGTTTCTTCCTTGTCAAACGGTAAAAAAAACGACTGTGCTGATCTTCTTATTCATAGATGGAAAATTCAGGAGTTGTTCATATGTTAAAGCATAACAAAACGGAAGGTTAGTAAACAGTAACCTAGCTTCCGCATAAACAATTTCAACTTTCTATGCAAACGTTACATGTTAATTCCATATATACATATTCACAGACTTGGCTCGAATGTTCCGGCTGTTTCAACGAGTAAAACATGGTCTTCAAGCAGTTTGTGAATGTCTACGGACCTATTTACGTGAACAGGGTGTTGCCTTGGTGAAAGAAGAAGAGACGGGAGACTCTGGAAAGAATGCTATTACTTATGTACAGGTTTGAATTTCTTATACACCTTTTACAAGACATAAGAAAATATACTGAAAACTACCATCTTAGCCATACAAAATTGGGTAATTTTCTTCATTTTACTGTAGTATAGTAATGCTTAACTGCGACTTACATCAAATAGATATACATGCAGCTAATTAATTCAGGTTTTTTAGTCATAGACGTACGGGTCTATTTTTTTGAGCGGGTGTCGGTTAAAGTTATGCCGAGCGACCTATGAAAGGTGCGATGCGGCTGGGCGTGTGAGTTCGGGTGGGGTGCATCCGCCCTGTTGGAAATTCTGAATTGGGAATTCCGGGGAGCTGTACCCCTCTCTGCTCTTCGTACGCCTATGTGAAGTGTCGAGATAAAAATTGAAAAAATGATGCATGACCGTCGGTGGTTCACTCAGCCAATTAGATAGATAAATGTTTCTCACTTTATTGTATATGCTTTATTGTATATTTCTGTCATAGGCTCTACTAGATTTAAAAGATCGGTTCGATCATTTTTTACAAGAATCTTTTAATGGAGACAAGGTCTTCAAGCAGGCTATTTCATCCGTAAGTATAGATAGTATGACGTATTATATGTTTGATGGTAATAAAACAATAATATGCCGGTATATATGCATTAATTGATGATTTCCATGCTGAGAAGAATTTCACAGCGGGCTGGAATTTTGCATCCGGCCCGCTGTGAAAAATGTAAACAAAACGACAAAACTAAAGCAACGAACGGCTAAAATTTGTGAAAACCTTTCTGGAAAAGGCTAAAAGACTTTTAAAAATAAAAAACATACCCAAAAAACTTAGTTTAGATTTTTTACGGCTTTTTTCGCCTGTCAATACGTTGTTTTTTAATCGATTTGCCGTGATTTAGTTGCTATGGACCTATCGTAACAATATTTGCCATTTTCTTGGCTCTTTCCCGACTAGGGTATCCTTATTAGGAGTTCTTGACGTATTAAATTTTCTAAAATGGCTTGCAGAATTTATAGTTTTTATAGTTTATTCATTAAATTTGTTGTATTTTTTGTGTTTTGATCAAGTCAGTAAAGTCAAGGTTAAAAATAAACGCGTTATTTACCGGCAGCTTCGGTCCGGATGCAAAAAACTGTGCCTTCGGTCTCAAAACTGTGCCCCCGGCCGTTTTCGAGCCCTCGGTCACAGTTTTTTGCATCCAGACCTCGCAGCCGGTAAATAACATATATGTATGAACAGTTCAACATAAAATTCGTGAGGAAAGTAAGAAGCACACAAACATAATCATATGAAACGTTTAAAAGGAACAAACATTTCATCTTTTATGTATACGATTTCTTCTAAGGGGAATAAAAATCGTATTTGATACACCAAAAGAAAATGAAAATTACTGTCCAGCAAATGACTTTTAAGTGGCTGAATATGAATAAATTATGCGAAAGTGTTTTTTCCGTTTAAGACGTTGACTGTGTAGATTTGTAGCTACATTCTAGCTCCTTGCGCAGCCTTTATATTGATTATATGAAAAACTTTGCAACTTCTAGTGTTTATGTGTCTGGAAAAATTAAATTTCCTGAAAATTGCAACTTCTATACAATATAGCTTTTTGAAACTTATTAGAATACAAATTCGTCGCCACTGCGTGGTAAACTGAGTGCAGTGCGCAGAAGTTCTGCTGACGCCAATTGGGAAGGACGCCAAATCTCATCACTGGGAATACTATTTCACAATAATACAAATATCGAAAAAAAAATCGGACAAAAAAAGCCGAAAAACTGACCCCTTGGTCCAATTTTACGTCCGGAGTCGATATTTGGGGTCAAATTTACCCTAGGGGGGGTATCATAGAGTTTTGTCGCCTTTTCCAACCGCATGACAGCATTCTGAGCACGTAGTAAGCACGCGCTTAACTCAAGTGAATATTATGGCGAATTGGCAACATATCGATCTAAAAAAAGAATGTATCTATTGAGGACAATTTCCTCCTTAAAATGGTTCTGTTTCTATTAAAATCGGTTAAGTTTTCACACAGAAATCGCAAGTTAAAGTGAGCTAACCACTTTAAGATGCCATCTGATCCGATGACAAGGAGTTTTAAGTTTCAATATGAATGGCGGTCATAGAAAGTTTTCGTTTTTGCCACTTCGTAGGCAAACCGCAAGTGAACATTGAATTTAACAATTTTTAACGAAGCACTCGTTTTATTGAGCGGTTTAACTTGCATGAACTCACAACAAAGGACGATTTGTGATTTTGTATTTCCGCATGATGACAAGCGCACGACAACCGCCCCGAAAAGCCGCCACCTACCTCTTATAATAGCCTTCAATTTTCACACTTGCAAGCAAAGCATCGCGGGCTCTGGGCACTCTGGAGACGAGATTGAGTATTACTATTATCAATTGAAATAAAATCCCGTCACGCCACAACAACACAGTGCTTCGTTAGAAATGGTGGCAAAGAGGAAAACATTCTGTGACCGCCATATGTATTGAATCTTAATGTAAATGCCTGAATTGGCGGGTCGCGCAGCTCAAAACCCAGTTTTTTTTGCCCTGCAGCCGCAGGCAATATGGCGGAAATAACCTTGAGGAGTCTATTCAAAACTGCTCTCACTCTCAGCACGCGTGAAACTGCTGGCAGGGGCAAATTAATGCTGTATCAAATACACGCGCAAAAACATATGTTGTCGCAACATTGTTACTGTAAAAGTAGTGACGCCTAACACTTAATGCACCATTGTTCACGACAATGTTCACAATATTATTCATTTGAAAAAAAGCCCAGAAAGCCTCTATGGAGTAGACAAATTTAGTTTAAACAGCCGTTGTTTTTCTTCAACATGTGATAAATGGACTTGCGATGCCAGCACTTCCCTTGCGATAGTAACTTCTAGTTCCATAAATAGAGTTAAGAGGTTAGGAAGAAACGACGCTGTGTTGTTTATGTATTGATAGATCTCTTACACGAATGTCTATTCATAGACATAATATGCACCGCTGTTTATTTACATTTTTACAACGCAACTATTTTGGTTATTCTTATGAAGTGACGGATAAATTGTTGCCATCATATAAATGTCGTGAATGTAGTCACATTTGTTTGACGAAGAAAAGAGACTAAACTGAGAAAATTGCGCCCGGTTAGGCCGGCTTACATGGGCAACTAAAATTATAATTTAATAGTGACAGTATCCGTGGCTAACGTAACTTGAGTACTTTGAGTAATTTCCTTTTGATTAATGTTTAACCTAGTTCATTATATTTTTACTGGCATAAGTCAAACTGTTTATGCTGGGACAAACGTCTGGTTGCTTAGGTATTACAGGACACGAAAACTTTGCACTATATCCTTGGATCCCTAGTTTTATTTTTTAATGATATTTTCATTATTTATACATAGGATAACTGGATATTTATGGACATCAATTAGGCTTTTCTGAACCCTGAACTGCAGAAATATTACCAAAAGTATGCAATTAATAATGATGTTCTCTTGAATGTCTTCAGGACTTTATGTCTATGCTGACCATGCATAATCCAAAGGAACACAGGCCAAAGCTCAGGCGAGATGCTGGGCAGCTGAATAATGCTAAGTGCAGCTTGTACCTCAATGGGCTATAAAAGTTTTCAATATGATCTAATTGGACCCCTGACCATAGTAATGGATAATATTCATCTATCCATAGACTCCATTCCTTCTGATTGGCCTAATGAACATAGCCCCTTGGAAGTTGATACCATAAACAGAAAATTATAAAAGTGGGTGCAGATTGAAGACACACTGCTCAATAACAATACACATTCATAACAATGTGTATAATTTGTTGTATTTATCTCAGTTCAATGTTCAGCAATTGGCATGACAAGCCACCTCTTCCTTTTTTCATAGCATCTTATTGGCTCAGAACCTTTGGGAATCAGTTTATACTATAGTCAATAGGCAAAAAACATAAAAACCGGCTTACCTGGATGCTATAAAATAACAGCTAAATGAGAAAAAAACTCTGCCGATAAGTGAACTAAGCCATTCGCAACGTCAGACGTAGGGCACGAAGTTACGTCTCCTTTCCATTTGTTGAACAGGGAAAAAGAGAAACACTCTATAAAAAAAAAATATAAGCCGAAGGCGAAAGCCGAAAATATTTTCATAAAAATCGGGAGGGTGTCGGACACAGCTTTCCACTTTGTATCGCGGTATGTCAGTGGTAACTACCATTAGCAAAAGGAACCAAGTGGCGTCAGCAAAGCTCAAAATTCGCCATCTTTTTAGCTACACGATTTGGCTCAATGTTCCTTACCTATTCACGCATTTTACTCGAAAACAAATTTGGTAACCCCCATTTGTTATTTAAAAAATTCTGTCTACGCCAAAATTTTTTAAAAGGAACGTGATTTTTCCTGATAAATATTTTTGGGCTGGACAGAATTTTTTTAAACTGAATCACATTTTCCATTTTCTTGTAAGAAAACGTTTTATAAAATAAACCAGACGCCTTCTCTGGCATTTTCTCCGGCGTGCCGCGCACGTGCCAGTCGTCAATATAAAGCTTCTGAACATAAACACAGAACACTATATTTCATACTCAGAAGCCTTGCGAACCTAAACGTTGTTCGATATTCAGGCAGTACATCGTACTTTAAAAATGTAATAAGTTCAAAAATGTAAATATAAACCGCATGATATGTTTACATATGCACATGACTTTCACTGTCTTACACTTTGAAATTCGCGCTTATGTATTTTAAAAGCATTTGTTCTTATGATAACCTTGGAGTTCGCGAATTAATGTAAATGGTTTGTGTTGTGTTCTTCAATCGTATTCTTCAATTGTGTTCTTCAATCGATATTATTAAAATAGAACCAAAGTCTATATTCTTTCTCTTTATCATCTTTATTGTAAATTGAGATCTGCTCCAGGAAAAACTTTCCCACAACAGTTATTTTCAGAGAGGTACTGGATATTCTTACCCCAGTTAAACCTAAACTTAATCTATCAGCATCAAAAGAACGGTTTATTCGATGAATTGCCGTATCATGCGAGCAAAATCAAATCGCGCTTCGGAAAATTAGCCAAAGGTTTCGAGCGGTGCACCACAGCTCTTGCGAGACAAATTCCCTACAATAATTTGGAATACGGTATTGAGGCAGCTTAAATACTATATCTACGTTAATTCTATGTTGTATCAATCACAAGCATTTTCAATCTTTTTCACAGGAATTTGAATATTTTTTAAACCTAAATGAAAAATCACCAGAGTATCTATCGTTATTCATAGATGATAAACTAAAGAAAGGAGTAAAAGGGGTAAGTTCTCTTGCTGACCTACGCATTTAATGTTATATGTAATACTTGTAGCTTTTAGGTACATTTTTAATAGGTTCAGTGAATCGCAAAATATTATGAATGTGCCCTTAGAATTTTGAAAGACTAGTGTAAAATACATTGATTTTACTGTATGAAAAGTTGGGCGAAAATTCTGACAAAAATGTTTGATTGCCGTTGCCTGCAAACGCTTCCTATTAGTACCACAAAAAAGAGCCACAAATACCTTAATACTAATATGACTACTGCAATTAATTTATTGTCGACTGTAAACCAACATAAAAATATGAAACGATATGGTAAAATTAGCCAATTAACTTCTTCTCAAAATCGTCACGTAACATTCTTGTAAACTTTCATTTAGTTATCGGAGCAAGAAATTGAAGTTGTACTAGACAAGTGCATGGTACTTTTCAGATATATACAAGAAAAGGTAAGAAATTGGTAAATTAAAGATGCAGGAGTTATAATGAGGTCTAGGGAACCTTCCCCGGAAAACGTTCGGTATATTTTTGAATCTCTATGCCTTGATTTCCTGCATTTTGGTGGAGATTATCATTAACTGAACTGGTTATTTGGCTAATATTTACACTAAGAAACGACCTAGAGGGGGGCCGAAAGCTGTTACTGGGGGGGGGGCGCCAAAGAAAGGCTGGGATGGGAGAGCTTTCTTCCTCCTCACCAAAACAGCTAAAAAACTGCGACACATCCTTATTCTTATAGGATGTGTTTGAGAGGTATTACAAACATCACTTAGCTAAAAGACTGCTTTTGAATAAAAGTGTATCTGATGATGCTGAGAAAAACATGATCTCGAAACTCAAGGTAAATATGCTATAATCCCCGAGCCGGTGCGGAGCACCGTGCGAGGGTACTAATTCCGCCCGGAGATTAGGAATTACACCCGGGACCCGGGAGAACATAGCGGAATCCAAAGTTGCCCAAATGTCATGGACGTTCAATGGTCATGGTACTTGTGCGCATGCGCGAAATGCGAACGAGTGTAGACTGGTAATCAGCAACTTCCTGATTGGCTAAGACGAAACGTTTGTGTTTCAGTGAAAAACGTCAGCAATTTAACTGTCATTTTGCAAACTATTTTTAAAAAAAATGTTTCGAAAACAAAATATGAAATGTGGAATCAAATAACAGATAAAACACTGGGAAGAGGTTAAAATATTATCAGAACTGGAGGAATTAGCGGTGAAAAGGGACAACTCGATTATAATCCTTGAAATGGTAGGAGTCTATTTTATTTTTTTCGAGGTTTATTTCGTGTTTGCTGTACGAATACATTTTATGACCTTGGTACAGTATGTCGTTTTGCTCGGTTTTGCGAAGACGTGACCGACTATTTAAGGCTTTACATCATCGTTTTAACTTCCAAAAGAGTCCTTAAAAGTGTAATTCGGAGTTTTAATAAAACAAATATCACTTTTAAGGTTTATATATAGTCGACTGCAATCACTGCATGAATTTAATAATCGAAAAACAACATTCGACGTTCACTGCTTTGTTATTTATATTATTTTGGCTGTTTTGATGTTTTGAAGGTTTAGCTATAATGGAGTATTAACTCTCACTTAAACTGTGAAAGTCTATAACTTAATGCAACGGAAATCAGCAGGAAAACGGGTGATTTCACTTCACCTTTACGACTGTGTTTGTTTCCTAAATATTTGAAACATCAGCTATCGGCTTTACATTTAGGACATTTCATAATATTGAAGGTTAGGTCTGGCTAGCTCAGGAAATATTGTGCTTCGTTTGAAATGGCGAGGGGTTGCTGCATGCATGTATTTCTAGTAACGTATTTACCATGCTCGTATACAGCTCGCAGGACTAAAATATATTACAAGATCTAGATCTTGTAAAATTTTATCTCCTGAACATAATTGAGAATTGAATCGAAATATATAGAGTTTAAATTTGCTTTGTCGAAATTTTTATTGACACAATGAATCTATTTGAAATAACCTTTATCTTATATCTGCTAAAATTATCAGCTGGAAATGGTTGGAATTAACAATTAGTCGCCGAAGACGAGTTGATTATATACAAGCCTATATTCACTGAGCCGAACGCGAAGTGAATATAGGCTTGTAATCACCTCGGTTTGGGCGACTAATTGTTTTAGTATAAATTTCGAGGTGTTTACAAATAATAATCATAAAAAATTATAATTACTTGAAATTTCTTACGACAGCAAAAAGCTATAGTCACCGACCAGTGACTATCACTTCAGAGACCGTGAATTTTGACTAATCAGAATGCAGGAAAATCAATAGTTACCTCGAAATTTATACTAATAGTGCATAGATGAGGGTAAATCAATTATGATTTGGGGCACTTCACTGATGCAGGTAAATTCTAGAGGTTCAAAGGGTCTTAATTTCGGCTGGAATTATACACACTTCAAATTCTAGCCAGGAACAGTTGAGGAAAAATGAGTCACCTATGAGGCCTCCGGCAGGAATGGAACCCACGCTTTCCATGCCGGTGCAATGCTTTTCCACAATTAATGTGTATATGATGGTAATACCGGCATTAAATGTAATTCCCGCGAGTTCTTATTTGTGTTTGGGTATATGAATGTAATATTGCCTTAATTTTATATTTTTAGACAGAATGTGGGTGTCAGTTTACATCAAAACTGGAGGGAATGTTTAAGGATATTACCTTATCGAATACGACTATGGACGAATTCAAACAACACATCATCACTAAAAATGTATGTATATTCTTACCAATTTTTTTCTGCGGGTAGTCGCAAAAGAAAACTAATTTGTAATACCTAGTGTCGTCGTGTCGGAGCTTTTGGCAGCGAATTAAAGAAGCCATGAAACTGTTTTTTTCAATATATAAATATCAGTGTAGCTGTAGTGACAATGGCAATTCTTTTGATATTGTGATAAGATGTTTGTATATGTAAAATGTTCACTATCGTATGTAGATCGATTTGCGAGGAGTAGATTTGAACGTGAGAATTTTAACAACCGGATTTTGGCCAACTCAACCCGCACCACAAAATTGTTCAATACCTGTGCAGACAGAGTATGCATTTGCTTGTTTTAGAAGGTACGTTTTACCTTTTTTGCATGTCATGTGATATTTATTCTCTTGTATGTAAGCTTAACGAGGAAATTAAGATTTACCCATGCACAATGTGATTGTTTGATTTAATGCAGTCGTAATTCCCAATAGGTATAGGAGGTAATTATGCGATGCGGGTACAATTCGGGAATAATATAGTACGAATGGTGCCAGCTACCAGAGCGAGTCCGATTTGGCATTATTTTAAACAGCACGAGTACTATTAATACCGAAATGTACGAGCAACATCGCATAATTATTTGTTTATTATTAGAAAAATAATATCGTATAACTTTCTTAGCGCCTTATCGGCGTAATTTTAAATGCAAACACGATAATTGTTGTAATATGATTTAGTATACACCCGACTATTGTCTATTACAACTCCTACATTCTGATTGGCTACTCAACCATTGTGTATTCGTGATGGTGAACGTTTGGGAAAAATTCGCTCGCGCAATCGTATAAAATTGAATTAATTAAATTCTTTTTCGAGGTAATTGCGGTGTAATTTTTCGGTGTATCGATTATTTTCTCGAAATTAATATATCTAGGTACAGGGCGTATATTACCTTTCTGGTTTTTTACTTCTTCCTGGGCTATGATTTAGTTTGTATGCAAAAAAACGTTCCGCCATTTTGTTTAACAAAATCATTAATTGTACTGCAGTACAATTAACAATGGCAATAGAACGAATAGGAGTGCAGTTAATGCAAAAATCATTCGAGTGTTTACAAAATATACCGACTGCGTAGCAGGAGGTTGATTTGTTAACCGCGAGTACGATTTCGCATTAATGCACGACTTAAATTACTTATTAATAAGGAGAGGGTGCAATTAATGCTCAAATCGCACTCTTCTTAGGCAATAAATTTGCAGCATTTGACAAAGATTACAGAAGATATATAATTATAATAATAATAAGATATATAATTAATTATTCGATGAGGCTGAGCAGGATATCTAGAATAATTCAGGCCGAAGTCAATGTTTGATAACGTTGACCGAGGCCAGAATTATTCTGAACATACCCCGAAAGCATAATTTAGTAATTGTTTTATTATTTATTGGATTTCGAAAAACAGTCTCTATTGAGCGGGTAATTTTTCCATTTCCCTTGAAACTGATGCGAAACGAGCACCTTATTATGTAAAAGGAAAACAAGCTTGCGAATTTCCCGCGCTTGTGCACGATATTGCTTTAAAACCGCGGGCGCGGACGAATAACCCTATTTCCTCCGAAAAATAATCAACCAATAGTGGCGAAAATTCAAACGAGTCAGTGAGTCAGACAGTCAGTTAGTCAGTCAGTCAGTCATAGTGTAAACTTTACGGGGGGCTAAGTTGATTTATGCGTATAGTAACTTTTTGTATATGATCAGTAATTTAAATCAGTTTAACTTGCTTTATTTATTAATGGGCTATATCCCTTTTGCAAAGTTCACCAAAATATTGAGGAATTTTGACGGTTACTGTAAATTTTGAAGCATTGCTTTTCGGCGGTTTGGGTTTTGTTTTAAAGGGATTTGCGTAGAATTACCCCCCGGAACACCCGACTTTTTCCTGTACGTCGCAACTGCGCATGTGCTGTCGAGACTTGAACATTATTCTCACGATGTAAAGAAACGAGGAGCGACGAACATTGCTTCAAAACATTCTGGGCCTAAAAATCGAGCAATTCTTTGAGAATCTACGCAATTTATCAACTTATGTTATGAATTACGATCTTCAATTCCACACAAATATACTTTGGAAGGTTTATTCTTTCCATAAATAAGCTAAGAGGTTAGGAAGAAACGACGCTGTGTTGTTTATGTATTGATAGATCTCTTACACGAATGTATATTATGTCGATAGCAAGTCGATACCTGATATTCTGCATACAGTACATAAATAATACTATACAAAACGGACATTTTGTGCGTCAATCAAATCATTTTGGCGGTATACAGTATTGATTATAAGTATATTGTTTTGTATTGATTGACGCGTCGAAGTATCCACATCATAGACTATACAGTATAATGCACCGCGGTTTATTTACATTATTTACAACGCAACTATTTTGGCTATTCCTATGAAGTGACGAAAAATTGTTGCCATCATATAAATGTAGTCACAGTTGTTTGACGAAGAAAAGAGACTAAACTGAGAAAATCGCGCCCGGTTAGGCCGGTTTACATGGGCAACTAAAATTATAATTTAATAGTGACAGTATCCGCGGCTAACGTAATGTTTAATGTTTAACCTAGTTCATTATATTTTTACTGGGATAAGTCAAAATTTTTATGTTGGGACAAACGTCTGGTTGCTTAGGTGTAGCCTGCCAAGCTCGCAATGCTCACCAGCATACACTCAGCATACAATATATATTGCTGTTTTTCAGGTTTTATTTGGGATGCCATAGTGGAAGACAATTAACTCTTCAACCACAAATGGTAAGCTATGCCAGAACCACATGCCACAGAACCATTGGTCCAAGTAAAATTTGCATGGGATTAATTTTACGAGTATTTTCAAGTTTTGCCAGAATCGCTTGAAACCATAAAATTTGAAGCCATTTGCATTATTTTGTTGCCTTTGACGGCAGCCATTGCAAACTGAGCGTGTTGACAAAGCGTGTTTTTAAATATACATATACTGTTCTTGGATCTGGTATTCGTGACAATAGAAATTATTAAGATTACCGCGATGAATGTTATCTGTCGAGCTGAATGCCATGGCAGATAGTTTGATTATCTGTAGATGATGTATTGCCATATTTATCCGCGCTTGCTACTGACCAATTAGTTATGTACCACTATAGTAAGTCATCAGCTCACATGAAACATGTAAAACAATTTGATTTTAATTGAAGTGTACAATTAGCCGAACTTACTGTGTTTGTCCGTATTTTCAGGGTTCTGCTGACTTGAATGCTGTATTCTTTGGCTCAAAGAAGGTACGAAATATATGTGTATATGCATGCAGCATTTTTATTGCAACCTGTAACAAACTGACCTTGATTTATATATTCCAAACGGTCCTTCATTATTAGAATTCATTTCGTGACGCATAGTAACTGTGTTGTTTTGTTAGGACGATGGGGCTGCCAATATGCATAAGCACATAATCCAGGTGTCAACTTACCAGATGTGCATCTTGATGTTATTCAACAAAAAGGATACGTTTTCTTGTGAGGTACAGTACGTAGATATACCACTTATTAACCGAATTTGAGGTCCGTACTAGGAAAATATCAGACGAGGTCTTGACAGTACGTACATAAAAGACCGAGGTCTGATATTTTTCCAGTACGGACCGAACGTATTCGGTTAATAAGGGATTTATTATATGGCATACAGTATTTAGTTTATTTATTTATACAATGCGCTGCAGCATTCTTGCCGGCTCTTTTGCCAGCCAGTCGGCAAGCAAGCACTAAAGTGGCTTCCAAAACTTTGTTTTTTACTCGTTAAAAAATAATGATTCAGTAATATGAACAAAAATCAAAGATGAATAAATATAATATTCACATGTACCAAATAATGCTCTTCTTCGTCCATTCTCCGTCGATATTTTTCGTGTCAAAAATAAAAGTGCAAGCTTGTTTTTGTTCAAAAATATGAGAGTTGGACCGTTACTACGGCAACGGTCTAATACTGGGGGATTCCAGACCGGCAAAGAACCAATCAGCGCACGCCATTTTAGTCACGAGACCGCGTGCCATATAATAAAATATCTTATTACATTATCAGATTTCTGGGTTTAGGTCAGATTTTATAGGAAGAAAGAGACAGATTAATTATCGGCAGGGTTGTATGTTCATATTTATTATATTCATTTTGAAATCAATGGTGTTTCTTGCAATCTGATTGGTTAAAAATAGTGTGATTAATTCCTAAATCGCACTATTTTTTAGCATTAATCACATCATTTATAAGCCAATAAGATTGAAGCTCTGCACCACAATAACCAATCAGATTTAGTATTTCAGTATAACTATTCAATCAAATTACAGGGCAAAAAGGCACAAAATTTTATTTTTTTGAATTTTTAAATGCCCCAGCAAAATTTCTTGACCAAAATAGATGAAAATTACTCACATTTTACAGCGTTTACGGTTCTTTCAGCCAATGAATCGTTTTGAATTTGTTTAATTTTTTGTATGATTGCAAAATGAATATAATAAAGTGGCAATTGCACTTCATGTCGTGCAATTTTGAAATCAAACACGTGATTACAAAATCGCGAGTGCGATTTGTAGTCACAAGTTGATTACACACCAAATTGCACTCCACTCAGTGCAATTACCATTATATATCTTCATGCATGAAGGCATTCGTCAAAATTATGTGATTCGATCACGCTTGATATTTTGTGAATAATTCATGTCATATATCGCAAACATCTAATTTATTGACCATCTGGCTGGGGCTGCTATTGGTATGTTTGCTATATACTATCTATATTTCCACTAGTGTAAGCACGAGGTCCTCCATTCTACGTTAAAACCTCGTCGAAATCTTCCCGCAGTTTTTACGTATTGATAACATGGCAATAATATTTTTAAGCCCATCGCTCTTCTGATTTAAAGAACAAAAGTAGTCTCCATTCACCACGCAAGTGAAACAACCTTCTTAATATCTCTTTGTATTTCAGGAGATCTCTAGTGAAACAGATGTTCCTGAACGAGATTTACATCGGGCTTTACAATCGCTGGCTTGTGGCAAGGCAGCACAACGCGTTTTGTTGAAAGAACCAAAATCCAGAGATATTGGTGTGCTTAATTGATATATAAATATACATATATATATATATATATATATATATATATATATTAATATATATATATATATATATTATATATATATATATATATATATATATATATATATATATATATATATATATATATATACAAAGTAGTGTGACATTTATGTTGTTTTTTTGCCGTATTCATTTCAGAACCAATGCATAAGTTTCGAGTTAATGACTCATTTACATCCAGACTGCACCGAGTAAAAATACAGACAGGTATGCCCGACTATTGACATTTAGTCGATATATATATATATATATATATATATATATATATATATATATATATATATATATATATATATATATATATATATATATATATTTATTGAATTTATCTTAAAATATTGTCGTCGCTACACAGTGTTTCACGCCTGACCTTTTACAGTCAGACGATCTTCAGGCGACAAATACAGGATTGAGTTCAATCATGGTTCAATGTTTGCTTGCGACGCATCTTCAACGGTCTGCTGACGCGCGCTCGCGCGCTTAGATGTTCGCGCCCCATTCTGCGTGCGTTTAAACCGCCCCGCATTGAACTTGTTCCGGTGGCAAAAAACCGAGAAAACGACGAGAAAACCTGGGTGAAGCGGGAAAACGCGAGATAACGGCGAGAAAACCTGGGTGAAGCGGGGAAATGATTCCTTATTCGACGTTACAATGGGAAGTTATGATGGAGCCGAGATTTGCGAGCTCGTCGGGCTATTCATCTTGAGTCAACTAAAACGAAAGTTCGGTAACGGCGTTGGGTTGTATCGGGACGACGGTCTAGCATTATTGAAAGGTGTCAGTGGTCGATCAGCTGATAAAGCTCGAAAAGATCTACACGAAATCTTCCACCAACAACCGACATCACCCTAAACCTGAAAGACCAGAAATACTCGCCGTACCGAAAACCAAACAACGATCCCCTCTACATCGACAGCAGATCCAATCACCCTCCATCAATTATCAAACAAATCCCAACATCGGTGAACAATCGAATATCCACCCTGTCATCTGATCAAGCATCCTTCGACTCCTCAACATCATTTTATGAGAATGCCCTCAAACGCAGCAATTACAACTTCAAAATGCATTACCAAACTGACCGCACCATCAACCTCTCGTCACCAGAAAGAGCGCGTCGAAGGAAAATCATTTGGTTCAATCCGCCATACAGCAAAAATGTCAGTACGAACGTTGCACGCAAGTTCCTACAGTTGTTAGACAAACATTTTCCGCAATCATCCCCATTACACAAAATCTTCAATAGGAACTCAATAAAAGTGAGCTACTCCTGTATGGGAAACATAAAAAGCGCGATCTCAAACCACAACCATCGACTACTAAACAACGCACGAAACACAGGAAGAACCGAAAACAACAACTGCAATTGCAGAATCAAAGACAGCTGCCCTCTTCAAGGAAATTGCTTGACGAAGAACATCGTGTATAAAGCCGAAATAATACTGACTAAAGACGAAAAGGAGACGAAAGAGTACATCGGAATGACGGCTACGACCTTCAAAGAACGCTACAGGAATCACAAGAGATCTATCAACAACGAACGCTACGCTACAGACACAGAACTGTCGAAACATGTCTGGAAACTTAAGACGAGTGGGAAACCATTCAAGATCAACTGGTCAATTTTGAAACGCGCCACCCCCCGCACTGCTGGTAAAAAGTGCTGCAACTTATGCCTTTCAGAAAAACTATGCATAATACAAGCAGACCATAGTAAATCCTTGAACAAAAGAAGCGAACTGTTCTCGAAGTGCTGCCACCGGAACAAGTTCAATGCGGGGCGGTTTAAACGCACGCAGAATGGGGCGCGAACATCTAAGCGCGCGAGCGCGCGTCAGCAGACCGTTGAAGATGCGTCGCAAGCAAACATTGAACCATGATTGAACTCAATCCTGTATTTGTCGCCTGAAGATCGTCTGACTGTAAAAGGTCAGGCGTGAAACACCGTGTAGCGACGACAATATTTTAAGATAAATTCAATAAATGACTCGCTCTACTTGTAATTAGTATTGAGCACTCTTTTATCCATTACAAACAATTACATTTGGATATATATATATATATATATATATATATATATATATATATATATATATATATATATATATATATATATATATATATATATATATTCAAAATTTTGCTTGTTTGTTATAAACAAGGAGAGTGCTCAATACCAAAAAAAGCAGAGCATAAATAATAATATTGAACTAATTCTTTAATCTCAAAATAAAGCGGTCGCTACACGCGGTGTGTATATATATATACTGCATTTCTCTATTTCTTCTTTCAGTTTTCTTTGTCTGAAACCGCTCTCATTCGCCACAATCTTTGTATTTTAACAATCAATCAGTGGCAACAACTCGAGTTTTGCATTTTTTCATATATATTTTTATATTTTTATTTTTTTTAGTTGCTGCAAAAGGTGAAGGTGAACCGGAACGGAAAGAAACTCGCTGTAAAGTTGAAGATGATCGTAAGCATGAGTATCCTTTCAACTAAAAATATTTCGGTGATCAGAAAAAAAATAATTTGCGTTTTGAATTTATTCTTGGTATAAAGTTTGATCACATTATCTTTACATTATCACAAAAAATGGTTTTGTGTAATATTGAGAAAAAGAAGCCTGTTGCAGTACTTTAGGGTATTGAAGATTTGTGTCAAGTATTATGGAAATTTTTATTTCTACAAATGATTTAAATAAAATGGTAAATATTAACACATAGATACTATTTTGCCGTTTGTCCAGACACACTGACCACATTATGACGTCTTTTCTGTCTTTATATCCTTAATTATTTCTCAGAGTTGAAGCTGCAATAGTTCGTATTATGAAAGCTCGCAAAAAACGTCCACACAATCTTCTAGTGGCTGAGGTATTTTTTATGTTATTAAATTTAGCTATTAAATCAGTATCCATGTGCATATTGCTTCAAATGCATCTGGTATAATAACTGCCTAAAAGAGACAAAAACAGTTTGAAGACGCTGCCAGCCTGTCACGCTGTGTTTACCAATCAGATAATGTATTTTCTTTCCTTCAAAACCATATAATTATTTTACCACAAAATGCTTACCTAATCTGAACTTGTAAAAAGTTCATACAATGATTTCAAAACCCCGATCGTTTATTGTCCGTGCGCATTGTACCCGGATGCAGTGGCGTATGAGTTACACGAGTGTTTTATACTTCCCAGTAAAATACCCCCATCCGTATAATAAAGAGTTGAAACTTCACGTTTTACGCCAAGCGAACAAGAATGCCTAGATATTTTATATGACGCCATTTATCATTTATAGACCTTGGGTCGGTTGTTCGAAAGGTGGATAGAATTATCCATTGGAGGATAGTGACGTTTTCAACTGTCGTTAAAATGCTTCGAAAAAAGAACTACTTATATTAAATTTATAATCGTCAAATTGTGAAGTTAAATCTTTGCCATGCCAAGTAGTGAGGAGTTTTTTAACATTTGAAATAATCACTATCCAGAGGATAACTTTATCCACCTTTCGAGAGCCGAATAGCGCTATCCACCGGATATGATTTTTCAACCGTTCTAAAAACCGATAAAATTTCATCTTTGGAACCAACAATTGTTGAAGAGGATCATCGATTTAGGAATACTATAAGATTTAATCTAAGTTGTACCCAACAACGGGCAATTTTAAAGCGATTGTAAAAACTACTATCCGGTGGATAGTATATTCGGCTTTCATACAACCAACTCCTGGAGTGTGGGGGGATTCAGCGAAATATTTTTTGAATTGATGATATTCCCGAGGACTTCGTCCGAAGGAAAATACTGAGCATGATATATGTATGCATGATATATTATACCGAAAAAGTTTTGTGAGTTTGTAGAATAGCCAAACATAAAGTACAAGGTTCGAAGAATTATTTCCATAAATCAGTAAAAGTACTCGAAAAAGACGTAAAAAAATTACCGTATAAAGTATGTTAACATTAGTCAACTTTTTTGTGTTTCTGTATGTCCTTCGTCGAGAATGCGGTTAATTTTCTCGTCCGAATCGTTAATTTCTTGTTTTCAAACAAACAGCAACACTATTCCCGCCTTTATTCTCAGTAGGTGCGTGTAGTCCTCACGAGATGTCGCGTAAGATAAATCTAGTATCACAGTGTGATAAATTTTTATGACATTAAAATGTTACACCTATGTATAGCTCGGGAATTGGGGACTGGGATACGATACCGCGAAAAATCTCCTCGTCACATGGTAGAAATAATGTTTTTTGATTGAACAATTTGAATTTGAGGAATAATATTAGCAAGTATATATTCGCGTCATTTTGTAAGCTATTGGTACAAAGATTCGGCAACCAGTGGCGTCGCCAGCTTGATAAGTGAGGGGGGAGCATATTCATATATTCGTGTTTTAAATAATTCAATTATTTTCAAATTGATTGTTTGTACGGTCTGTGGACATGAATGCATGAATATGTCCACCCCACTCGACTTGTTGTCTGAATGGCTTCCATGCATGCATATACGTCAGAATGTTTCTGAAATAGATCTTTACCTGATTGCTTTCTTTTCTTTAGGTCACAGAACAATTGAAATCTCGGTTTATGCCTAGTCCTCAAGTTATAAAGAAAAGAATTGAAGGGCTGATCGAACGAGAATATTTAGCAAGAACACAAGAAGATAGGTAAGAAACGTTATGGAGTATGTTTGGTTCACTGATGATTGACATAGACAGAAAATAATATACAGTGAATGTATGCTCCCGGAGGAAATAGTGAGTTTTGTTTTCCCAGAAGTCTGGGAAACATTCCGACTCGAGGAAAAACAAAACTCACTATTTCCCGAGGTAGTGTACAAGTGTTTTGTTATATAGTTACGCGCTTGATCGCGCATGAGGGGCAAGATCAAATCCCAGATGGCATAAGTAAAAAGATAAATAAGTTTTCAGTGTTTATAATGTGGTGGTTTTATTGTCCTTTTGTCACGAGGAATAATTCGGCCTTTTTACTTTAAACTGTTTTCAAGATATTTGAAAGTCAAACATATAAAGAGTTCGTTTTAAAACTTTCCAAATGTGGGAATTAAAAAGACACAGACCAGCCTTTTAAAAGGCAATCAAAACGCACTTAATTATTGTTAAATAAATTTCATGCACCTAGTCATTATGAAAAGAGTGTGCACGCAGTTTCTTGTGAGACTAGGATAGCAGAATGATTTTCGCCTTTCAAGGTTATGTCGCATTTTGATTTCAAACACCTTATTCAGCTTCATTATTATACATTTCGTGTGTATTGTCGTTCCTGATTCGTCAGAAAGCACCCGTTAATTCTCAATATTCTGTATTTATAACGTAGTTTCAGCTGCTGACGTGCTCAGATTCCAACAATTATTTTTTGTGTCGAACTTGCATCCAAAAAAAAACAATTAAATGACCCTTTATAGTGCCCAGACCTTGGCACGCCAGCAACTTGAGCGCAAAAGAGCGCATTGACCTGAATAACATTGATCTTGGTCTGAAAAATTCTTGATATGCTCAGCCTCATCCAATGATTGTTTATTAACTTCCCATTATCCATTGTTCGAATTGCGTTCGCTGCGACCAATATGCGACGTATAACCTAGGCCCTACTATCACAGACTATGGGTAATTATTCGCAAGGTGCTTACAAGCTTTAATATTCACTTTGAAATCAATGGTGTTTATTTCAAACTAATTGGTTCTTAGAAGATAAGTTCAGCATAAACTTGTAATACCGAGCCTGGGCGACTAACTTTTTAGCATGATTTGGGTACCTGTTTTATAAAGCAGCACAACTATATTAAATACCCGTAACCTTCACACCATATTTTGCTACCTCATTTTGCATGGTTTTCACAAGAAGGCCGAATAATTTCAGCCATATTTTTTGAATAGCCGTAGTTGCTGGCTTAATTGCGGCTAAGAGTAGGCTGAGCGGTAATATTGCCTCGTATAGTTACTGGTGATGGAGCCAAATCAAAATGTTCAAAGGCCATTTAATACTCTTCATAAATTTTACTGAACAAAACGCCCGGTAGGCGTTAACTCGGGCTCAATAAATACACTGCACTGAAACTGAGCTATTTTGATACACTGTAAATACACGACTAAGCCTTAATTGTGCACGCAACTCTTTTTGACTGGTAGCGGGCAGGAATCCCATGAACAATAATGCATCGACTTAAGTAATCCTCGTCCCCGAGCCGGCGCGGAGCACACCCGAAACCCGGTAGAACATAGGCGAATCCAAAGTTGTCCAAATTCTATGTCATGGACGGTCGACGTTGGGTGGTTTTGTAAGTTATGCGCATGCTCGAGTAACGTCTGGTAATCAACGAACGTTCTGATTGGCTAAAACAGCAATTTAACTCATTTTTAAACATTTTTGTAAAAGCGTTTTAAAAACTTTGTGCAAAGAAAGTAAAACGAGAAGATACAAAATATAATTATGAAGCATGACAGATAGCAAAGATGAACGTAGATACAGTTAAGACAAAGCCATGTAAGAGGAATAATTTGTAATGTGCAAGCTTATAAATGTTTTCAAAGGGTACGTGTTTACTTTGTTTATTTCGTTTTTCTTTCGCGGTAAGAATGAGCCGTATTTGTTACTTTTCAGCTTTGTATGCCGTTTATTTGTTAAATTTTCAGCTTTGTATAATTTTCAGCTTTTTATGCAAACGCATAAACCTGTGAGAGGCTATTACACCTTTTCTTTAACTTCAAAAAGTGTTTTTGAAAGTGTAATTTGAATTTTGGTATCAAAAATACACACTATATTTATATAAAAGTATAAACATGTACTTCTACTGTTTTAATCGTTTGAAACATCGATTTTAAACCGTTACTTAATTGCTGGCATGGTATAATGCAGCAAAATTTAACGGGCAATGTTTACAGTACTAGCTTTATGATTATTTTTGTATTGAATGATGGAAACATTAGCTATAATATACTCGGTAAAATATAATAAGACTGACTGAGTTTTGTGTCATTTCATAATAAAAGTTTAGGTCAGGTTAACTCAGGAAATGGTGTGCTTGGTTTGAGATAGCGAGGGGTTGCTGCATGCATTTCTAGTTTAAATTATGATTTCAACGTTGACACCAGTCGCAGTCATTACGTAGACATCATCCCCACCTGATTGGCGCCAGTCCCGAATTCTCTCCCCTTGCCAGAGGCGAATAGCTTTGTACTACAAAAAATACAAATATTGTTTTTTACACAATAAGCCTCGCTTCCATGTTGCAGGAAGGCGCGGTTACTAAGTTTCGCAATTGGTCTATAGCGGGCTCGGTGATGGCATTTTAGGCTACCTAAAATGTCGCAATGTGGAGAGAGGACAGGGGTGAGGGTTAGGTTCCGTCCCAGTCGACGTCTTGACGTTTTGGGTATCCTGAAAAGATTTTGCCCTAACGAATTTACCCAGTCGAACTTTTTAACTACCCAAATTTGCACTACAAATATTTCATATAAAGTGTCAGTGTTATCTTTTCCTGTTATTTTTAGAAAAGTTTATGTTTATGTTGCATAAATCAGCTTCATGAGGATGTCGAGCTTCTGAAATAAACAACTATGTTGAATGTCGATGTTTGAAACTCGCCAGTGGTGCACATTTTTAGAAGCAAGGAAAAACTTGAAAAGTCAGACATTTTTGGAAAAATAATTCTTGATTCATTCTGGATTCCCTGGCATATAACAATTATTTCAGGGGAGGAGGTCGACAAAAACCATACATTATTGTAAATTGCCGACTTCGCTTGAAAGTATGTTCACCATGACATTTTCAACTTCCTTTGTGATGCTTTCTGTTGGTATTTGTATTCTTGAAAGATAGATTATGCTGTGTGGCAATTGCTTTCGCAAGATTGATTTTAGGGAGTAGGCACAATGTAAATTAAATTGTATATTAAAAGAGAATGCAGCTGAAATTGTTAGAAAATGGGTGCATAAATTTTGCTCTTCGGTGCTCTCCCTCTGTTCTATAAAGATAAAATTGGGACGATACATTAAAATAATGAATAATTATCGCTTTTTCTTGTTTTTTAAATTGTATTTGTGCAAGTAGATTAATTATAGTAAGTATCCCTTTATAGTAAGTGTCCATGACAAATAGAGACCTTATGAGTGAAAACAAAGCATGCATGTTCCTGGTTGGCCGACTGGGCGCAGTGGCGTCGACGCAGACTGTATAAAGTTTATCCAATCAGATTATCCTGAATAATTGAGAAAGTGAGAATTCGTTAAAAGTGGTGAGGGGATCCTGCATGATGTATCTTGTCTATCTCTACTCTCCACCAGTTAGGAACAAAGGCGTTACGCAAGAAACAGTTTTTTTTATTTTCAGTCAGCAAAAAAATATTTTTGAGGATTCAGTTGCTATATTACGGGTGAAGTGTATAAATACAAATAAATAAAAAATGAACAACCTGTTAAAAAATTGTATCCATAATTCCATTTTAGCTACTTGCCAAATTTATTAACTTGCCAAATTTCAAGAGGCAAAAAAGCCGAGTTGATTACTTTGTGATTACTGTGATATTAATTATTTTTAGAGTAACATTAAGGGTACACCACAAAAAATTTGCTTTTTATTTGGATAGCATTAAGATCTATGGTTTTTATAAGACTAAACAAGTTATTCTGAGCACTGACCTATATTAGATGGACTGAGCGCTCGAGGCCTAAATGTCTCCCCTCCATTGCCTACGTCATATAGGTCCACGCGTCGATGAAAATTACCGCAGACTGATATTTGTTTTAGTTTGTAGGCGGGTCAACATTTTTAGAAAGAAAGAAATATATTACTTCAGATATCCGAGGGATACTTTTCAAAATGGAAATACAATGTTTGAATAAGTTTTATTATATGTGTATAGAGATTTATGCACAGCAGAATGATGAAATAAAAATCGTATTTCACTGTGCAAATTAATTTCATGCAATTTGATTGGACGTACGATGTTTCTCACGTGTGAAAAAATGCCATACACGGCTTTTGATTGGACGTACGATATTCTTCACACGTGAAAAATTGTCGTATGTCATTTTGGCGGCAATTTGTTTACATTTTCTTTCAAGATGGCGTCGAAATATAGGAGTGAGATTCAAAACATAATTCTCATATTCAAGATATTTTTACATTCAGCACATCTCAAATCTTTCGGAAAGAATGTCTAACTTCTATTGAACAAAATTACAAAGAAACTGAACGGTAATAAATATGACTTGTTTTCATGCATAAAGTTTCGATTTTGTTGCTCGCTGCGTTTTTGTATATTAAAAGCGTGTCGTTATCAAATCGATCTCTATACACATTTAATAAACAAATTACTTCATGGTTGGCTCGTTTGTACGATTTTTATTATGCATGCACTCGTTGCGAAGGATCGCAAACTCACTCGTTCGCTGCGCTCACTCGTTCGTATTGCGATCCTTCACAACTCGTGCATAAAAATCGTACGCACTCGCCAACCATGAAGTAATCTCTATTTATCACATCTTAGTGTAAAAAAACAAATGAACAAGGACAATACAACGTACGTATTAAACTAATACATGATTATTGTACCCAATATTGATTTAAAATGCTTACATACTTAGAAATTCTTTGTATAGGACACATTGTATTTCCTTGTTGTCAAATATTCTAGTTTGTCCATCAGAAAGTATTAAAAATTTTGACTGAAGAATTGTTATTTGTATATTTCCAATACGTTGTCGCAGAGACGTTGTTGACGTGAGCATCTCCTGGATATTTGAAGAGCTTATAGCTATGCCCTCTACAGTCACTGTCATTGTATATCTCCGTATTTAAAAAAAAATTATTATGTGTATAGAGATTTATGCACAGCAGAATTATGAAATAAAAATTGTATTTCACTGTGTAAATTAATTTCATGCAATTTGACTGGACGCACGATATTTCTCACGTGTGAAAAAAAATGCCATACACGGCTTTTAATTCGACGTACGATATTCTTCACACCTGAAAAATTATCGTACGTCATTTTGGCGGCAATTTGTTTACATTTCTTCCAAGATGGCGTCGAAACATAGGAGTGAGATTCAAAACATAATCCTCATCTTCAAGATATTTTTACATTCAACACATTCTCAAATATTTCGGAAAGAATATCTAACTTCTATATTACAAAGAAACTGAACGGTAATAAATAAGTTTTGATGCATAAAATTTCGATTTTTGTTGCTCGCCGTGTTTTTGTATATTTAAAGCGTGTCGTTGTCAATTGATCTCTATACACATTTAATAAACAAATTACTTCATGGTTGGCTAGTTTATACGATTTTTATTATGAACTCGTTGTGAAAGGATCGCAATGTTGCCAGGGGAGCTGACCAAGTTGTCAAGGTGTGGAACAAGCAAGTTATTGAACAGAGCTCAAAAGCAAACAAACTTTTGGGTTTTATCAAGAGATCATGTAAGGAGATAAAAAATCCTAGAACGAGAAGATGTTTATTTCTAGCGATTGTACGACCTCACCTCGGTTATGCCACACAGACTTGGGCTCCCCAAACAATCGAACTGATTAAACGAGTAGAACAGGTCCAACGTCGTGCGTCCAAATTTATATTAAACCTTCCACACGATTATCAGAGAACTATAAGTACCGGCTTATAGAAAGCAAGTTACTACCACTTAGTTTCTGGCAAGAATACTTAGACCTTGTGTTTCTATTCAAGAAGATGAATGGTCTGGTGCAGGTTAGCGATGACATTATTCCAGAAAGGATCGTTATTGGTAACTCGAGAAGAACAAGGGCCACGAACAACCCAGAATGCATCCTGGTCCGGGAGACGAAATGCAGAACGGTGACATTTCAACGCTCATTCATAAATAGATCAACCAGAACATGGAACATTCTGCCTGATGAACTAAAACATCAATCTTTAAGCTTAGTCAATTTTAAAACTTTGTTAATGGATTATTACTGTTTTGCCAAGTTGAAACATGTCTACATTGGTTCGATGCGCAACATTCTTTATCGCAAAATGACCAAAAATTAACACGATAATGACAAACGTGAACTTTATATTTTTTCTTTTTCGAACTCGTGTTTTAACAACCTTTTTAACCCCGACGCCCGCGCTTCTTGCACAGCGGACGCCAACGTAAAAACTTCATGTATTAACATCCCCCTCCCGAATGCAACCGCATTCGATCTACAAAGAAGGTTTCCAAAATGCATATTCAACTTAACTAACGTAGTTCAAAATTGCTACAACAAACAATATTTATTACATATCAATGTTCCCCAACACCGTCCTGTTCTAATTCAATCACTCCTCCACATACTCTAGAAGAGACAGGCGATGAACCGGGCGGAAATACTCCTTGCCCTTTGATTTCACCTTCACGACTCGTACCAATCCGTCACTTCCGGGGTACACTTCCATCACACGACCAAGCGGCCACTCACCACGATTAGCTTTAGGTTCGGCTATAAGTACAACGTCTCCAGGTTTCAAGTTGTGCCTTGGGTGAAACCATTTTTTTCTGACATTTAATGACGGAAGAAACTCCCTACGCCAACGCCTCCAAAACAACTTCAACAACTGCTGTACGCGATGCCATCTTTTAACTGGGTTAAAGTTCCTCTTTCAGAATTTCTGGGGCAAATCGCCCTCCAATCTAGCCAACGATAAAATTATTGGGGGTCAAGGGTGTCAAATCGTTCGGGTCCGCACTAACATAGGTGATCGGAGTTGATTAACTCTTCTGCTCCACATATGGCTGTTTGTAACTCCTCGTCTCTTACGTCAGCATCACCCAAAATTGCTTTTATCGCTTTTTTCGCACTCTTGATTAATGCTTCGAATACGCCGCCAAAGTGCGGCGCGGAGGGTGGGTTTAATTTCCATTCTATCCGTTGGTGAACAGTGGTCTCTCGTGTGATCTTTTCTTGGTTTAAGTTATCAACAAGTTCACGCAGCTCTCGCTCCGCGCCCGTGAAGTTGGTTCCATTGTCGCTTACACGTAGCTTGGCGTCCCCCTCCTGGAAACCATTCGGGTAAAGGCATTGATGAAAGAATCACTGTCTAACGAGCACGCCATCTCTAAATGTACGGCTCGTGTAGCCAAGCAGGTGAATAAACATAGATAACGCTTCGCCCTCGTTCGTCCCCGCCCCTGTCGAGTAATCAACTCCAACCTTTTCGAACGCACGTAATGACTCCAATCTGGGTCGTGGAAGAGGTGCCATCATCTGGTTTGCCGTCTTCATCGAAAACCGTCGCCGACATTCGGAACAAGTTTCAATTGTATTTCGAACTGTCTTACGACCTTTCACAATCCAATATGGAGAACGTAAATGTTTCAAGGCTAATTCAACACCAGAGCCATGTCTTAAGCATTCATGAGCGTCGAGCACAATCAGTCGGGTAACCGCACTGGTCTTAGGTAGAATGACAGGGTGTCTAGTATCGTAAGGCAATTTCATTGCAAGGCGCAAACGTCCATCCAGTCTTAGCAGGCCATCAGTGTCTTTCCGAGGATTGAGTTGTACCAGCGAAGGACACCGCGGAAATTGGTATAGGCTTAGCCGCAATTCTCGATACTTAGACTTCAAACTTGGTGAGGAAAAAGATTTATAAATATTCAAGAAAATATGTCTTGCACAAAAGATTTGAAGCTTGCTCACGGTAAAAACGAATCGTCTGAATTAATAACCTTGTGTATACTTTAAGCCTCAAAATGGCCATTTCACAGCGGTCAGATGTGTATGATGAGCTGTCAAAAGATTGCAGAATGCGTATTCAGAAGAAAAATTGAACTTTTTTAAGATATTCAAAAGGTTTCTCTTTGATAGGGCGATACAGAAATGCACAATTGTGAACCAGCGATTAGATTTTCGGGTTGAAACGTCTTAAACACCAATTTCTGCGGTGTCCCAGCGAAGGGTCTTTCTCAGCTTGAGGGTATGCTTCACTTTGTACTTGCTTTATCCAAGCTTTCTCTGCTTGTGCGATCTCCGAACATAAAGGTTCGCGTCCTTTCACTCTAGTTGCGACCGGTAATCTCGCATTTCTTCCAAAACGTAATATCCATGCTGTCACCCGACAAAGGCGCCTGAAGCTTGAAAAACGCTGTGGATCGATGACGAGAGTATCACCTGTGCTAGTTTCGTGAGTCTGGCAGGCCCGTCCCTCGTGGTCATTAACTCGGTTTGGGTTCCTGCTCGGGGGTGTAGGCCATGCAGTCTCGGGGCTGTTTTAAAAATGTTGGGCCCTCCAACCAGAAGGTGCACTCGGGCAATTCAGAAGCCGTCATTCCCCTTGTAGCCAGATCAGCTGGGTTCATCGTGCCTGGGACGTGGTGCCATTGCTCTGGATTTGTGGTGCGATGGATCTCTCCAATTCTGTTTGCTACGAATGATTTGAACTCTTTGCTTTGGTTGTGCACCCAATACCAATCTGTCCAAAAGAATACCCTGTCTAACACTTTTAGAAGGTTCCGAGCTAGACGACAAGACAATCCGAGAAAAGATGCATATCAACACTGACAGGATTTGCGAGGCGAAGGGAACGTGGAACAGGCAAACGCGACAAGAACGGTAATTCTGACACCCATTTTGACCATTTTGTCGCCAGGTCGTCTGGTAAGAGATGATCCCAATCTAGTCCAGCTAACCACATTTCTTGCATTAACATCTTAGCGCGAATGATAAATTGGGCGAGAAATTGAAGGAGGTCGTAAATTGCTGCGATGGTACTCAATACAATGCGTTTCGTTAAGGGTTCAGCCGATTCAGGATACTTGATCTGGAAGGTAAACACGTCATCCCTGGCCTCCCACATCACGCCAAGGGTCTTGGTTTTCGTTCCACCATCCTTGCTGAAGTCTAAGGTTGAAAGACGTTCACTTTCAGGGA